CTCATCCTTGACGTCCGTATAAGCTCGCTCGAAGTAGATCTCCGTGTGCCAGGAAATCGTGACGAGTTTCCGTTCTCGTAAGCCGAGTGGTCTCTACCGAGTTAATTTCCCCCGTTTTGTACGTTTCCCGCGAAGTCCAGTTTAGTGCGCGAAAACCTATCGTCACACCTTTTAGTTGCTAAATAGTTGCATGTTATGCATACTGAATATTGTTAAACGATAAAAATGGAAATATATCTAATCTAAAAACATTGTAAGGGTTCCCTTTTACTGGTGTTGGAAAAGGAATGGAAATAGTATTGCAACGCCTGGTTCGGGGCGACTTTTGAAGGTAAAATTTCCGCACAGTCCCATACTATTGTAAAACAAATTTGTTTTCCCAATGGCAATGTATTGTTTTTGTCATTGTTTTCTCTATTCAAGAACTGAATGCATAATGTAGTATGGGGCTGTGCGGAAATTTTACCCTTTTGAAGAGCCAAAGTTTACTTGTCAACAACTACTCGCGTTGAACTTTGCGTGCATGCTGACCGAAGAAGGCCAGAGATCACGGGAAATCAGCTGTAATTAACGATGATATATTGAAGATAATGGAACGACCACAGATAACAAGATAACGCCAATCACAAACCAATAAGGAAGAACATTCCGAGCATAAGTGCGGCGTAACAGATGTTTCTAAGTGATCTCTAAAGACATATAAAAATCAGTAATAACGAGAGAATACATGTATTTCAAATTGTCCTGAAGCGATAGTAATAACCTAAACGATAACAGTTATAAAATCATTAAAGGCCATAAAATCGCAGGAGATAGAAGATAGAAACGACAACAGATCCTCTGGGAGAATCCGGATCAGGATTTCTGATCTGTGACGTTCCTTTCGAGCACATCCATTTTCAGATCAGTGATCTATCAAATCCACTCTGGACAAGGATTCATCGGATCACCGATTTGTGTGATCTAAAGACGGATCATTGGATAATTGATCCAACGCGTCCCTTTGGGCGAAGGATCCGAAATTAATCATTTTGCCCACCGGTGCTCAATTTCAAACAGGTAGGTACTTCGTATATTGACCGGAAAGATTGTTGACAATCGCTCCACAAATTCTACGATAAACACAAAATAAAATTGATTTTTGATGATGATGATTGATGTTAAATCGATCGGCCACTGATCGCAAGCATTCAGGGTTCCCAAGTATCCATATCGTAATCAATACTTGCTTCTACTTTAATTCCATCGTTTGAGTTTGTCGTGAAAAAATTTGCTTCTAATGAATAGTGCTAATTAGAAAAATTTTGCGCGCTAAAAGCCCGTGCAGTTAGACGAGCCATTCAGGGAAGAGCTCAATAACCCACGTGCATTCACAAGTCTTAGGGCCTGTTTACATGGAGGTGGGGGACCCCAGGTAGGTGAGTCAACCCGCCTAGGTGGGGTAACCCGCCTGTCCATATAGTTTCTTATTTTATTTTGATCACGTTTAAATCGAAGATGGGGTGACCCGCCTGGGCGGGTTGCCCGGTCTGCCAGGTAGGGTAACCCGGTCAGCCGGGGTGACAATTTGCCATGTAAACGTGTCAAGGTGGGGTAACCCACCTAGCTGGGATCGCGTTCATGGTAAAAAGCTCAAAAACGAAACATTTATGTTTTAAAACTTTGTACATTTCCTAGCCGTCTCATGGCAGAAATCACCAGAAACCGCAACGGACACACAAGGAGTGTAAAATGTTCACATTTCGGAATATTTAGCGTTGTAAATCGACCACCTTTGGTTTCCCAAACTATTCCTTATAACTTATTAAGTCAACGGTTCCTCGCGAAACCAAACACCGCGTAACACAACGTGTGACGCTTTCATGAATAAATACGTGAATGTGTCCGAGAATTCATCTTTCTTCTTTTTCGACATGTGAGCTTGGGACGACTCTGCTCAAACTCCTTAATTGCAAGCGCAATAACAATCTCAAGAAACCTCACCCCAGCACCCCGGGGTCGTAAAATTGCATGTAAACGCGTTTTACTTTTCGACCACGGCTAGGCGGGTTACCTCACCGACCTGAGGTCCCCCACCTCCATGTAAACAGGCCCTTAAAATAGCGCACTTTTTGGAATTCTCTGAGAGCTCGTCTAAAACTCCGTTCTTTCATGCACCGTGATCAGTGTGATCTTGGATCACAAATCCCAACCTCCTGTGATCCTTGTGAGTTGAACCTCACCCCAGATAAATAGATGACGTTTTATTTTTCTGATGAAAAATGGAACGCCTAAATTGCCAATACTCTTTAATGGATATTAATAAGCGCCTCCCAAAGGAACGCGCCCTTAGTTTACCAAAACACGTAGGCTAGCTCTGTAAAGCTGAAAACTAGAACTACTAAAAGAAGGCCGCTATCAGCATACGTTCACGTGTTAAAGCTTATGACGTAATTGCTTAGTAAACAAGATTGACGAATTGGCGAAGAGAATTAAGGATAATCATGCAACGAAGAAGCCTCGATTTAACGTTTATTACAAATATATTACCATAAGCCATTCAGTAAAAAAAATTATAATGAGCAAGTTGATCAATTCCTATTCCTTTTGGCGGTCTTCTTATCCTTTTGGCGGTCTTATCTTACAGTAGAATTTCGGTCACGTTTTTCTTATTGTGGTTGTGAATTTGACATGGAGACAGATGTGAGCTTAGGACGCCTGTGCTCAAACCCCTTAATTGCAAGCGCAACAACAACCTCAAGAAACCTCACCCCAGCACCCCGGGATTGCTGTAATGTCTTTTCCAAAAAAAATTAATAATCTGTACCAATCTATTCCATCCTATTAAGCTTCCAGCCAAGCACTAATTGCATGTAAACGCGTTTTATTTTTTGACCACGGCCAGGCGGGTTACCTCACATACCTGGGGTCCCCCATCTCCATGTAAACAGGCCCAAAGTTGTTTTCCGGAATGTTCTAGACTACTTTGTAAATGTAAATAAGGACTCAGTCGTGTAGTAGTTGCTGTTGTTGTCGGGTGTGACCGATTGTCTGGAAAGCTGTACCAAGAGAGAGACCGGTTACTGATTAGGATCAAATATAGTTACTTCATTACAAATCGATCTTTTTAGTTGATTTTGTCAGTATTACGTGGGATTAAAAGGAGATTATTTTCCCTAGCAGTCGGATAGGAGTTCAAACGATTTGTATCAGTTTTATTCTAGATCAGAGTTTTCACTCTCTTCGTGTTTCAGTTTCGTATAATTGTTCTGAACCCGTTCAGTCGGCTTCTTTTCTGGAGAATGTTTTTGAAAACAGCTCATTTTCAAACGATCCAAACGGCGAAATTCCACATAATATGTTGATGAAAACAAAGCAAAAAGTACATAAGTCAACCAGTCACTGATATTATAAATAGAGAACATGATGTCTTCTTCGTCCTTCAAGTTAGAATGCATCGGTTTTTAGCATTGGCAGTTCCTTTCAAAAGTTGTGCCGCAAGCCACACGTCCATAGACACGTGCATGAGACCGCTGACGCATAGAAGAATCGATGTTGCGAGGCGAAGCGCGAAAAGCTTGACGGTATTTGTTTGTGGTTTAATGAGGTAGTAGGTGATAACGGTTTGGAGTGAACAATATGTTATTCCACAAATTCCAACCACAGTTCGACTAATGAAGTGTACAATACCAGAAAGAGAGACGTGATTTCACCACTGGTTCCATTGCCCCTTGACGAAATTCGTATCACACACTTGGTTGAAGTTTTAATCTAACCAGCAGAACGTGTTTAGATGCCAGCTTGGAGTCACAAAGCTGCGATTGCCTGCTGACAAATAATTCCAAATAATAATAGTTATGTTTCTCTCAAATAAAAAAAAAAAACGCCGTGATATGATAAAATTGTTTTCGCCTGGTCTAGCTCTTTTTTTTTTCTTTTGTCTTTTCTTATCGATTGGGGAGGTTGGAGGAATTTGATTGTGACAGGGCGAATGCACGTGATCTCCCATGAGGCTCTGTAACATTTTTACGATCCCCCCCTCATTAGCAGTTAATTTTCTGCAGCTCCTCCCCTCCTCCCTTTTATACTCTGTTAGCGACGCTTGACCCCCCCCCCCCCCCTTACGTTCCCCCTAAAAATCATGTGATCCCCCTTTAAATCCTTCGACCCCGCTCCCCAGGTAAAAAGCAAAGACTGGTCCCTTACCGACACAGGTCAGTTGCAACATGATATGTGACGTCTCAGTTCAAATTTGCGGAAAAGAATTGTTCATTCTCTCATCGATTTTCATTGGAACGCTAAAATAGTTTTTAAAGTACAGGTGTTGATTTCCCGTTAATTTCTTTATTTTTTGGCAGAAATTACAAATGGTATAACCAACGGAAGATCTAAATTTGGACAAAAATTTCGGTCGGTCATGCAACATATTTTGTAATTACTCGGCACTATAATCTGCAAAAAAGATGCCAGCCAAGGAAATGAAATAGTACTGATTTCAACTTGCTGTAGATTCAAGAAAACGACACGATGAGGGAGACTGATAACGAATACTGTAGGAAATTAAGACTACCATTTTTTAATAACATATTACATAGGTCGGTTAATCTAGCCAACACAGCATCATTTCATTTCATTTCATTTTGCCGCACTTCGCAAGAGATTTTGAAGAATTCAACTCGAACTGTTTTATCATTATAAACACGGCAACTTCGGCTGATTAAGTTAAGTATAAACCGCCCTACCTAAGTGACACATGAAACATGTGCGATTAATGAAAAAAGAAGACATTTAGAATACTTTTTTAGCTAGGTAATGAACTTATGTGTCAATAAAAGACGGCGCTCGACCTCTCGTATCTTTTAAAAAACGATGGACACATCTAATAGATCCAACTTGTCATCAGAAGCTTGCTGCTAACATAGTTACGCAGCAAGGCAACCGAGGGGGGGGGGGAGGGTGGGGATGTTGAAGCTTCGCATAAATGGACGTATTATTCACATACTTTGCAACAAATGACCATTCTAGTCGTCGTTTGTTCCTATCTTCACATAGTCACTTTTCTTTCTGTCTGTAAGTTCCTTAACTTTAACGTGATAAATTTCCAGAGAAAAAGTTTTAAATTCTTGGTAAAAGGATGCAGGGAAGAGCGCTAAGCACAGACAGGCAACCCACTCTCCGATAGTGCTAAACAAGTGCAGGGCATAACCACCGTCATCAGGGCTCCAGAAAGCTTCGGAGCTACCTGTTTGTAACTTTGTTGTCGAGAACCAATAGAAGAAAGGATATCCTATGCCAGTGCATGTCATAGTACAAGACACGACGAGCCTGAAAATGAACACCCATTTTGAATGGAGGCCCATTTTAACCGTGAAGAAGGTAATAGCGGTTTGGAACCAAAGGTATGGTATTGCGCTGACAAGAAGTAACACGGTAGCAGCGTCATGAAGTTTTTCAAGAGGAGGTCCGGACTCTCTCCTACCAGCGACAAAGATAACCTGCACAGAAAGAAAAAGGATATATGAGGGTCTGGACCCCAGGTTGGTCAGGTAGCCCGCATTAACATACATCTTACAACCCCGGGCGGCGTTCTCGCAAGTGTAACATGAACGCAACCCCGACTAGGCGGGTTACCAAACCTTGAGACGTTTACTTGGCAAATTGCTACCCCGGCTGACAGGGTTACCCTACCTGACAGACCGGACAACCCACCTAAGTGGGTTACCTCACCTATCATGTAGACGTGTTCAAGATAAAACAAGAGATCATATGAATGGGTGGTTACCCCATCAAGGTGGGTTACCTCACCTACCTGGGGTCCCCCATCTCCATGTTAATAGGCTCTAAGTGACCTCTGCATATTCTGATCTAAAGTGAATTCTTTTAGCAAGTTCTGATTAACCCCTAAGCAGAGAATTACGATCACATGAGAAGCAAGGCCACGTGTTTGGTGAAGGATTGCATCTGATAAAAAGGTACATCGATAAAATTTATGCCCTGAGTTTGGATCGAAAAGATTAACAATTCAAAATTCGGACTTAAAGTGTCTATGACACGAATTTTTTTTCTCTTTTTTTGCGTAAAAATTTAGCTTATCATATGTAAAAACCGATTCCGATAGAAGAAAGATTTCAAAAAACTTAAAACTCGCTTTTTTTGGGGCCTTAAAATGTCCTTATTTTGTCTTAAAAGTGTCCCGTGGACTGGAAACGAATTAGCGGGTGATGACGTAGAAAACTATGAAACTCTCCGTTGACATTTACAAATCTCTCACATCTCTTGTAATTTTGTATCGGTCAGCGTTGAAATACTCTTGAATAATGTCAGATAGCGATGTATACCTACCTTCAGCAAGCTCTGCCAAGAGTTTTGATACATCGTACTCAAGTAGTAAAGAAGGAATGGAAGTTGCAAGGACGATTCAGCCCTACGAAGGAGAACCGCTTCAAACGAAGATCTCTACAAAGACTGACTAAGACGGTTTTGGTCGTGTGCGGTGTTCAGGTCAAGATTAGAACAAAAATCTCCCGTTACCGAATGTTTAGTTTGTTTCGTTTGTGTTTTGTTTTCTATGGCGAAATCTATGTTAAGAATGGGTAGTTGTGTTCGTTTTTGTTGACATAACATTTTATTCCTTCGCACTAAGTGCGGCGAAGGTTACCCTTGGTCACTGCTCTAAAGTTTCGTTGCTGTGGAATGATTCCCCTAGCAAACCACAAGCTAACATTTGACGAAACAATCGGCTGCATCACGAGGCACGATGATTTTGTGCCGAGAAGTCATCGGGAAGTTTCGTTCCTGTGATTGAAGGGGCTACTTTAATTTAAAGATTTCACGGCTTGAAAAATGCAAATCATGCTCCTTTCCTCAAAGATTGCAAAGGCTGAGGTTGTTGTCGTCGAGCCGGTCAAACGGAAAATGAGCGAGTTTGTCTGATTCAAGTTAACCTCAAATAGAGATTTTAATAGAGAGAACTTTTTTAGTGTAAGTGCAGCATTGCCATATGACCCACTTCGCTCAATGGCAAACAACTAACATCAGTATTTTAAATTAATATTTCGTATGCATCGACTTTCACACGGCCCCTTCGGGCTTGTATTTATGCCAGTATCCGTCAAAGGTTTCGTACTGTTCACGCAACAGGATATCGGCCAGTTCAGGAAAGGGCTCGAACTTTATCATAAATTATGTATTTCTGGTAACAAAATACGATGGAAACTACAACTAGTATGATTTTCATACGATAAGAAAAGTGCAAATGTAGTCATGTGGAAAGACAAGGAGGATGAGTACATCTCAAGCGCGTGATATAAACCTGAATAATAACGAGCTTACCATTCTTCACTTGCGACATGTCAGCCGAAAATAATGTTGAACAATCGTTTGCGGTGTGAGAACAGGCACCTTAATCAGCATTCTTTTAAGCTGAATTCTTTGGTTATCTTCCCCACAAAAAAATGGTCGAGGAGAACTCGCTAGTCGCATAAATCGATTACACAGCTATCAACCAAAAAATGCAAAAACAAATTTCGTGTCACAGGCACTTTAACGGGGGTATCCTTCTCAACAACAAACGCCCAGCAATAATTTACTTTTTGCAGTAAATATCGAGGTAAAGCCTTCATTTGTAAATATGCGTGCAGGAAAAGCTACTATAAGAAAATACTTGCAAAGGAAAGAATGTTTTCGAAAACCATTGTAAATCAAAAGACAAGTTTCGAAGTTAAAATTGAAAAACGGATTGCATGGTTATTGTGATGCTAACAACGCCTTATAAATTACGTGCTATTACACGAGACAACATGGTGAGATGTTATTAATTGATGTTATTAAACATAATAATACTAGGACTGTTTAAATTTAGTCATTGGGAGAAGAGTTGATTCATTCCAGCAGCTATTGCTTGCTCTGTAGCTGCGTCTACGCTTCGAATAATCATCACTCGGAATTGAAGTGATTTTGAAACCACGCGATTGATCGGATCTAGTGAGGTTAACGAAAAATAACTCGGAAATTGGAAAAACTAAATGATAAAAGCCTTTTAACATACACCTTTTTACCTAAATAACTTATTTCTGTCGATCGACAATTTGACTTATTAGCCCAAGGTCCTAATTCTTGCGGTTTTATCAGCCATAATACATACCACTTCGGCAGAAGACCTGACACTGGCGACCAGGACAACTCCTATGAGACACGAAATGCCAAACCGTAGACCAACTTTGTTTAACCTGATGATCTTACTTGAGAATTCACACTCCAGATCACCAGGAACTGCCTGAACCTGAACATACCGAGCCACCATCATTGCCAGTCCGAGGAAAGCCACCAAGGTCATCAGAGCACCAAAGAGTGACGCCTGTGGTTCGAATGAAGCCGCTTTGCTAATGCTTGGTAAGAAAGGGTAGACATGGCCAAGTGATACGGCTATGATATACGGAGTTATGATGGTTATACAAACCAAAACGGGCCAGATAACTGGTATGAGACGTATTGAACGCGATGAAACTATCATGGTTGAACTAAGCTTCACTCAACTGTGGCACAGAGAATATTGTTATGAAGCAAATGCACTAAGCATTCCACTGGTTGATCGCAGCGTAACCTGTGGTTACCGCCGGTCAACTGGAACACTGTCATCGGAATTGTTGTGATTGAAGTTTTAATCTAGAAGAAGAGAGACCACTGAAATTGCATCATGAAGATAAAATAAGTATCAGAGTTGTATTAATTAAGCCAAGACCATTATCTTCTGTACCACCTCGAGATACCTAAATGCTGTGTAACCCTGAGAAACAAAGAGAGTTAGCTAAATCTACCTGACTGACACTTTGCAGAATAGGACAGAACCCTAGCCGGCTGAGACAACCTTGGCTCTCATTTTTAAATCGCTGATCAAGAAACTGTACTCGATTACAATTTTAACTGCCATTTTTTCTGCAGCGATCAAAAGAAAACAAGCGCGGGTGTCAGTATTAATTCTATTTCGACACCAGTCCTACTCACTAGTGAGTCACGTGAGATATGTGCGAGTAGCCCGAGTGATCAGTTGCGCGCGTAATTCCAGAGCGGTCGGTCGTGTATTTTTCCAGTGCTTGGATTATGGCGGACGAACATGATCAAATACTTTCCACTGAGGCGGAGGACGAACTCTTAACCGTTGAAACGGACCCTAAAGAAAAGACTCCAACTGATGTCCACCCGGATCCCATGTCGGCGAAGTATTTACGCCCGGCGAACTGTGAGACTCTCACAACACCGCGGGTTAATCCTGAAATCTGGGATAAACTGAGCCACTCAGTGAAACAGCAGGACCTCAGGTCCAGCTCAATCCAGAAAACGATTGCCACAGCTGGTGCTGCAATGTGCAAATCCATTGGGATGCTGCTAGAAATGTATGGCGTAACATACCGTTCAAAATTCAGTCAGGGTATTTTCCCTATCGAAAAATTAATTTTCGTGTCGGAAATCAATTAACAGGGTCCGTTATTGTTGGCCACTTTCAGACCTCCTCATTGTCTGCTATTTCCCGTGTCTGATATTATTTTCCGTGTCTGATATTATTTCCCATGTCTGTATTTACTATTTAAATGGATTTCGACTTATTACCGTGCTTTATATTAAGACTTATCGAGAATCGAGGCCTATAGTAACCTACATCACTAATCGAGTGTTTGATCGAGTTTGATTAATTCCTCAATCACGAGTCGGATTATCCAGGGTTGACTCCGTCCCAGACCTCCCACGGTACACCGTTGGCTAGGGGTAGTTGTTCACTTAGTTTACAAAAACGATAAGCACCACTTCTTCGCAAGTATTGAAGCAAGCACTGATTTGGAGGTTATGACTGTTGAGGTAGGGTTATGAAATCTCTACTCGTAGTATGCACATAGAATCTAGCCACTAGTTATGTTATACCTTTGTGTAGCAAACTCTTGAACTATGTGTACCTGGCACACGCGGTTACATAAGCTGATAATTGAAAGCCGAAACACATAAAATGTACGAATATTGTGTGCTTGTACATTAGTTTTAAACCAAAAAAATCGTCGTATTTTTCACAAATCTAGCCTTCTACGGCTCAATGAACGTCAAACTAAATATTATGCATTTGCTGTTGCTCAGTAAATGCGTAATTTGACAGCACTATCTCAAGCACGGTCTACGAAAATGCTAAATTTCGGTTATCATTCGCTGTTTCCATCAGTGAACCCTTAAAACCCCCAAATTGCGACTGGCTTCTCCTTTCTGCTTACAGTATCACCCTTGGATCAAATGTAAAAGTCAAGACAATGGTGGAAATTAACTCCAATTTAAGAGGCTCCTGATTGTCAAACAAATTCTCCTTGTCTGTACTATAAGAAATGGGATCCAATGGGATGCAAAGAAGACAGGGTACAGAATATGACTGACAATGTAAGAGTGTAAAGGGTTAACCACTTGACCAGCTCAAACTAAGCAAGGGATCAGTAACCACTCAACTGGAATTCAATGTATAAAGCCCATCTTTTATTTTAAAACAGCAAGGTTAATGACATGTTATGGGCTCTCTTTCTTTTGTATTAATGGTTGTGTATTTAAAGCAAAAAGTTGTCTTGCAAACAGAGTACAATTCAGCGGACATCAGGTAAAAATCTTAAATAAAAAGAACGACATTAAACATCATCATCAGTGAAAAAATCTTAATTTACACCTGTTGCTTTGAAATCAAACTAAACAAATTATACAATGACATTCAGTATTTTAGAGAGGTGATGATAAATTAATTCCCTACGAGTGAGATATAAAAACAATGCATTAACCCTTTAACTCCTGGAAGTGATTAACACAAAACTTCTCCCTACAATATCCATACATTATTCAGCAAACAGATAATGTGAATATTCAATCTTGTCAGGTTGAAGCTGCTATCTTGATCTAGCAGCAAGTTCTCATAACTAATTAGCGAGGAAATGAGTAGTAGCTAGAGGGGAGAATTAACTATCAGATCTTGGGATTTAAAGGGTTAAGACTCTTGATTTCAGTTCATTAAATGTTGTAGCCAAAATGTGAGGAAGCAAGTCGCAATGCGACTCGTTCTCTCACATTTGTGTTGCGTAACTAGCTAAGGTCCATAAAAAGCTTCCTTTTTTCAAGTTTACTTTAGAGAAAAATAGCTAAAAAATATGTGTTCATGGAAATACATATATATATATATATGGTCACTTGTGATAAAACCTAAGATAGATTTTCCTACTTATTAGTTTTACTTTTCTTTTTTTCTTTAGCTCTTAGCCTTCTCATTTGACGTCTACTTATTTTGTTCATTTCAATGTCATCTTCTTTGGCTTTCATTTTTTTTGCATTTAAGTTTGACTTGTTGTTGTCTTCTGGTTTTCTCTTTCTTTTCCTCTTTTTGTCATCTGTGTCTTTTGATTCCCCTTTTGTTGCCTTTTTGTCCAGTTCTTTTATTCTCTTCTTCATCTTCTTAACTTTCTTTCCAATGCTCTTGTTACTATCATCTGCTAAATTGAATTTTTAAAGTATTGTTAAACTAATATGTAATGTTATTTACTTGTATTTCTTCAATCAAGTCCTGGCTATTGACCACACTATTTTTGTGGTCACCCTGATTATAGAAGTTTGAAAAACTGATGACCTAAACTTCCAAATGATGAGGACATTCTTTAATGTATACCAAAGTCAAATAACATTCCAATATTGGGAAAAAATCTTAATATTTTCTGTGTACATCTACTTGTAACTATCCAATTATAATGGTGGAGCACATCTATTTTTCACTCTTTTTAAACAAGATGGAAAATGGGTCATTAACACCATTTTAGTGTACAATTTTATTAATTTAATTTAGTATACAAACTTTCCTGGTTACTTTACTTTCAGTAGTAATGGTGTTGTTTGCATTACTCTAAAGCATTCAAGCTAGATAAGAGGTGAAAAGCACTTGCAAGGCTAGAACAAAAACCAATCAAAACATACCTCTGGTCCCAATGGTTGAATTAAGATCTTTGTCAGTTTGTAAAGGGCCAGTTCCTTTGAATGACACCTGGAAGGAAATAGGAGAAGAGTGGAAGCATCCCTGGCTCAAAGAATCATTGATTACAGAAATAGATTATCTTCATTTGTCTTTCTCTAGGAGAATTTAACGTCCAAGTTTTGTCTAACAAATGGGAAGTTAAGACTTCTCAGCATTTCTTTCAGTTCCTTAATTCTATTTTAATATTAAAATAAAATATCTTTGAAATGATACAATACTACAACTGATAAGGATACTTAAGTGAGAAAAACACCCCTTTATTCCTAATTCAATGAAACAAGTGTAAATCTGGACTAACAGTGACAATGGCAGAGCCCCTACCTAGGAAAAAACCTTGCAACCCTGAAATAGAAGTTGCAAGCTCCAGAGTACAAATACACCTTTCACTACCAAATCTTGGAACTGCAGGTGAGACCTTGCTCTTGTCACACTACCGCACAGGAACACACCTTCAGCCTCTATAGTAGAAGTTGCAAGTTCCAGAGTACAAAAGCACCTTCTGCTGCCAAATCTAGCAATAGAACTCCAGGTGAGACCTTGCAAAGGAACACACCTTTTGCCTCTATAGTAGAAGTTGCAAGCTCCAGAGTACTTAAGCACCTTCCACCGCCAAATCTGCTAATAGAGCTTGAGGTGAGACCTCTCCCTACTTGTACCGACACAGAGGAATACACCTTCCGTCTCTATAGTAGAAGTTGCAAGCTCCAGAGTACTTGAGCACCTTCCGCCACAAAATCTACCTATAGAACTACAGGTGAGTCCTCGCCCAGGGCTGCGGAGGAACACACCCTTTGCCTCTATAGTAGAAGTTGCAAGCTCCAGAGTACAAAAGCACCTTCTGCCGCCAAATCTAGTAATAGAACTCCAAGTGAGACCTCGCACTAGTTGCGGTGCCACAGAGGAAATACCATCCGCTTCTATAGTAGAATTTGTAAGCTAATGAGTACTTGAGCACCTTCTGCTGCCAAATCTAGCTATAGAACTCCAGGTGAGACCTTGTAGAGGAACACACCTATTGCCTCTATAGTAGAAGTTGCAAGCTCCAGAGTACAAAAGCACCTTTCGCCACCAAATCTAGTTATTCAACGTTAGGTAAAACCTCGCCCTAGTTGTAGCACCACAGAGGAATACACCTTCCGTCTCTATAGTCGAAGTTGCAAGCTCCAGAGTACTTATGCACCTTCCGCCACAAAATCTACCTATAGAACTTCAGGTGAGTCCTCGCCCAGGGCTGCAGAGGAACACACCTTTGCCTCTATAGTAGAAGTTGCAAGCTCCAGAGTACAAAAGCACCTTCCGTTGCTAAATCCAGTCATAGAACTCCAGGTGAAACCTCGCAGAGGAACACGCCTTCTGCCTCTATAGTAGAAATAGCAAGCTCCAGAGTACTTGAGCACCTTCCACTGCTAAATCTAGTAATAGAACACCAGGTGAACCCCTGCCCTAGTTGTGCCGTTACAGACAAATACACCTTTGGCCTCTATAGTAGAAGTTGCAAGCTCCAGAGTACAAAAGCACCTTCCGCTGTCAAATCTAGCAATAGAGCTTTAGGTGAGACCTTGCAAAGGAACACACCATCCACCTCTATAGTACAGGTTGCAAGTTCCAGGTACAAAAGCACCTTCCAACACTAAATCTAGCTGTAAGATTTTCTGAAATACATTGAGTTGAGGAATTTCAGGTGTGTTTTTCTCTAGTTGCAAAAGTACGTAAAGGGACAGATGTCAATGCCCTCCCTATTTCCTTTTCAGTTATCTATAAATGTGTGCATGTGAACCTATTATTAAAGCAATGCTCGCAAAATTGCTCTTGGATTTGGCATTGACAGAAAACACTGTAGATGTTCTCAACAGTAAATTAAAATTTAATCACCAAATGCATTAAAAGACTAACCAGGTAAACTTTGAAAACTGTGTGAAGGGGGAAAAAATGACCAGAAGAAAAAAAAGATGCACTTAAAAAAGTTAAAAACATAGAAAACTGGGGCATTTAAAATAACTAAACGTGCTAAATTTCTCCAATCCACTTAATCTTAAATGCAAAATCTTTACGTTCAATCTCATACTTAAACATTTTTATACACTTTCTGAAAACATCCCTTGTGTTTTCTGTCATTTAAGCAAGGACAGGGTCTTTTTTTTATCATCACAGGTGTTCAGGAAATTCATTACTAACTGTAGATGCTTTAATAACATGAATGTTCACTATAACCTTTCAAAATATCAAGGGATGTACATTATAGGCATTAAAAGGATCTTATAAAGTAAAAGTAATCTATTATAGTATTTTATAATAATGATGTTCAATTATATTATCTTGATGAGAACATATGGAATTAGTGACTAACAATATAACCAAGATAATGGTCATCAAATTAATCAGGCTTGTGTGTGTAAGCATCTGTAGCCAAGCAGCTGCTGGCAAATCTAACCCTAGCTAAGGTTTCCTATATCACCTAATCCCAACATTTAACCAGACAAAAAAAAACTGGAATAAGTCTGGCTAAAATTACACAGACAGAAAGAATTGCAATCTGCAGGCAACAGATGATACACACATATAGCGGTGTTCTGGTACATGTTATGATAAATGTGGCCATGTGGATGAAGCAGTATGAAAAGTCAGGAGAGATGAAATAGAGTGTTAAAAAGCCTCAACTTGTAAGTACAACATGTGTACTTACTTTTTCTGGGGACTCTGACATGAGTTTTTCCATTTCCTGTTCAGACTGGAAGTAAAGAAAAAAACTTCAACTCAGTTCTAGTCTGACTGGCAAAGAATGTTCAAACATGTAGTTCATTTTAGAGTGTTGCCCAACATACAGTGATTGATGAAAACTGAATATTGCTCACAAGATAACAAAGTTCTCTGAATGGCATTATCAAATAATCTGCAGTTTTTGATTGCAAAAAAAGAAACATGGGGTTTGAACCTAATTCAAGGGTTAAAAATACCACACACCAATACTTGAATTGGTTAATTGATTCAATACCTTTTCTACTAGCCGCAGCACCTCTCCAGGAGGTTTAATAGCCTCTGTTGGAAATACTGTCCTGTTTTCCTGTGTCTCCAGGGAAAAGAACAATGGCTGCATCTGGCTACTCCCAAGCCAGTCATACACCTCCTACAAGTAGTTAATAAAAAATTGCATAATATGAGCTACATGAGGGGATGTGCAGCAGCACTTTTTAAAAGCAAATCTCCTTTCTCATGTTGTGGTGCTATTATAACTCTTATAATTTCTTAAAATATCAAAACATTTGGATTATTGTGTACATTATTTTAAAGCTGTATTTGCTTTCAAGGTTATCATGCATACTTACTTGATAGCAACCTCCTCTGTGAAACGTTCTTTTGAACAAACCACTGGGCGTGTAAACTTTAATCTTTACACCATCTTTTGGTCCTTTTCTCATCCGATTTTCTCGCAAATTGCGTATTTCTTCGGCCTGTGTCAGAAACATATTTGTTTTCCATTCATTAAATCTTAAGAGCTACTTGTATCTTGAAAAAGACAACATAATGATAGAAAATGTATACCTTTGAAATATTTTATCTATTTCTTCTTATATTATTATGTTTTTCCAGATCTTATTGAGCATGTTTGCTGGCTGTGAGAGTTGAAATGTATGTATAACCCCATTTAAGTAAGCTGCAAAAGGGTTTGCATTATTTGAAAGAGCATTTTAAAACAACACAAATACAGTCTTAATTATTTCAGATATGAAGCACTTACCATATCATTTTCGGGGAGGCTTAATTCTCTGTCTTTTCTTTCTGTAGGTTGAAATGTTGGCCTTGCTGCACCTTGTTGTTGGTTCCTCTGTTGTTAAGTAAGAACATTTTTAATTAAGATGTAGCTGATACCAAATTTAAGTCTCTAACTTTAAGTGTTATTGACAGAAATATTTGTTTGCAGCTGGTTCTAAAAAGAAATCAATTTTTTCATCATTTGGAAGAATGCAAATGTGTTCATTGATACGCTGGGATTTGTATCATTTTATTTTAATAAATTTCCTCAAATGATTTGTAATGGTTGATGCAATCAAATTCTAAATTACTATTCAATCCTTTTTCCCTTCTTGCTAACTAGTTTGGTGCATATAATTATCAAAAAACATTTAACCTGTTGCCCACTAGCCAATCAATCTATAACTTGCATGTATGAAAATAAAGGCTGTATCAACCACTGTGATAATGAAGGTTAAGGCAGAGGAAGGCTAAAGAAATCTCCTTGTTTTAAGGTAAAAATCTGTTGAAATAACCATACTTTAGAAGCATCTGCTTCCTGAGCTGCATGGAACACCTCATCTTGTTCTCTCTGCAAAGCTCGTGATTCCAAAATCTTCCTCCTAGCAGTAATCAAATATGTTTAGAGACAATTGACACATTATAGGGTAAAACAAGATAATCTTAAATAAATGCAAATTGGACACTGTAAAGAGTTTCTACGCTTGCCTTTTGAGTGTTAGCCCTTCATCAGAGTGACAGGTATAGTTGATTTCAGGACTTAACAGTTTTTTCTGCGATGCAAGCTTGGTTTAATTTATTTGATTAAAACTTGATCCAAGTTATGGCCATTTTTGGGCAAAATGAACATTTCTTTCAGCCTGACAATTATGCAAGCCTGGGCTATTAAAATATGTCCAGTAAGTTGCTCAGTACTGTTGACAACAATTTTTTGAGCACTATTTTGATTACATGAGGTCTTAAATCAATTTTGTCCATGTATCAGACAAAATTGTACCATATTGTAATATCATGGTGCACATAAAATTAAAGCTTTGTCCAACAAGAAAGGGACTCCAGAAAGATCTATTACCAGTTGGCATGTGCAATTTCCACGGCTTCTGCTGCCCTTTGCACCGCTTCACTTATTTGGGAAAAGTCAAAAAAGCTCCCTGTAAAAATAACAAAAAAAAGTTAATTATAATAGCTTTAGCTTTGATTTTCTTGTTTTGTATGCACTATGAGGAAATACCCGTACTTTTGCATCAAGAGAGTTCCTACAGTAACCTTCAAATTTTCAGTTAATGGCTGAGGCTTTTCCAGAATAGAAGTTATCTTAGAGTAAAGCAAAACTCAATTGAATTTTTTACCTGCATATCTCTCCACAGGTGTGGGTTGGCTTGACCCCCCCATGGATGGTGTACACAGAATAATCTGAGGTACACCAAGAGTTTGGCCACCGAGTGCCTGCATGGCTAGAAACAGAAAAAAAAATCATTTAACTTCCTCCTAATGGTAAGACTAGCTTGGGATCTACACAATTTATGTAAAAGCTTAATATCATTTTTGGTGTTTGGTTACTGCATTTCCTTGAATAAGTGCCCATGCCCTAATAAATGCCCCCTCCTCTGAATTAAAAGCCACCCCCTGGGCCTAAATGTCAAATAAGTCCCCCCCCCCTCAATTTCTTAAATTAGCAGGGATACAGGGAAAACCTGTTTTTATGGCCAATTTATTTAACCTTCAACTTCAGCAGAATCAGTAAAGAAAAGTACTTCCTTTTCCTTTACTCACTTCTATTTATTTCCATCATCATGTGCTTACAGAGTTCTTTTCTGTGCATTATCTGTTCTTTTCATTTTTGTCCTATTTCCCTGCCCTTGGTAAATGCTCTAGCCTTCCCAGGCTCAACTACACTATTCTCTATTCTACAGAGACCTGTAATTTCATCGATTATAAAGTTATTGGGATGCATTTGAAGAAAACAGTTGATAAATAATGACAGCTCAGTTAATACTGACTTAACATCTACATGAATAACAGTATAGCATTTTATTTTCTGTTTAAGATTTAGTTGAAATAAAGATACAGTTTGTTGAAAGGAAAACTTATCTCAATTAAGCACCTTCCTTCAAATAAGCACCTCCCCTTTTAGCTGATAATTTTAAATAAGCGCCCGGGCACTTGTTCAGGGAAATACTGTAGTTCATTAGTGGCCCTATATCATGTATGTACCTTCTTTTCCATCCATGGAATCAATGCAAGATATCCAGAAGAGGCAATCCTCGGGAAAATCTCCATTTATGACGGCATTATTCAGGTCACTGTATAACCAAAAAATAAGAAATTTGAAATGCTTAAGGAATACGTAGAGTGGGAGATGTGGTAACTGAACAGTATGTATGGGTATGGATACATATGTAGAAAATAGAGATATTGAAAAACATTCCCGATACTTATTAAAATGATAATCATAGCTACCTCAACATGTCTCTCTCTGCAGAAGAGAGAGTGTGTGAAGCCTTTAAAATCACAATCACCGCCATCTGAAGGCCTCTTTTAATGTGATAACAAAGCTAAAAGGAGAAAGAATATCTCACTGTGTAAAGCATACCTGCTTGAAAAAAGTCAGGAAAAGGCTGACCCTCTGTGGCAGTACAGACTGGGTACAGCAAGGTCCATACAAAAACAACTAAGGGACAATATTCCTCAGTATGGCTTGAGCTAGTGATGTTAGTAAGTAGATTAGTATATGTTTCTTGGAAAATATATGTTTACTTTGAATTTTTGCGGTTTTCGAGAAAAAGAAAATAATACAGCACAGCTTATGTCTGTTTCCGTGGAAACTCTCCACCAGAAAAAATACCAACCAAGTAAGAACCAATCAGAACCCTTGGAGTTACATCAAGACTACCACACCACATAGTAATATATGATTACAATGAATCCAAACTTCTAGCATACTGCATATTTTGAAAACACCTTTATAAAAATAATTATTTTCAGGTTTTGTTTAACCGGTTACATTTACTAGAGCTATGGTATAATGTGAACTAGCTTACAGCTTTGAATGGGATTCCAATGAAGGAAATATTTATTGAAAGGTTTTCTTTTTCTTTGTAAATGTTCAGTTGTGAAATGAAGATATGACACACTGTTACCTTAAGTTGAGTGACTGCGATGCAGTCTTCTCTCAGACTGATGTACATCAAAATGAAAGCTTTTTCTATGACCGTCCGCATCGTTAGAGTGAATATTTCTGAAACAGCAAAATAGTATATTGTGAATTTTCAAATTAGCTAGGAATAACCTTTTTTGTGTGACCGACAAAGAATCCTCAGATAACGTTTAATATTTCCACGTAGCTATAGCTAAGCGAGTATGACGTTAGCGAGAAAAGAAAAAAAATACAGCGCACGTGAAAACACTGCATCATAACCATAAACATGGTTTAGTTATTCTTCTTTTTGTAATAAATAAAGAGACAGTTTCGTTGAGATGGTCAAACTATACGTTAGGCTAAAAGAGTTCCATTGCCTTTTTAAAATCGCTTGAGCCAAATTTGAATCATAGGCTGACGACTTTTGACGTTGTGTTAAACTTATAAATAAGATAGACAAGACCATAGCTGTGGCGTAACAGATAATTTCATTCTTTTTTGGGCGTTTCCCGTTTCCTTTCGGTTTTATATTAGCATCGTTTTAAAAAGCTTTTATTTACCTTTTTCTCATACATTTAATGCAAGAAGATCAAGTTTTTTGTTTTTAATAATAGGGATGTGATTAGTCATGTGCACAACATTTAGTGATAAATAAATTGTTGTGGCAGAATAGCTGTGGAATCTTTTGGTTTGGTTTCATCTTACTTTACAAGTTTCCTTGCTCTTAAACTTCCCTTTACGACAAAATATCTACCACTGTAAACTTTCTTTTTCCCTCAAATGCTGCTGATTTTCTCTATAAGGTGGCTTTCCGGTTCTACTACATGTTATTAAAGCACGAGCTGGTTATTGTCGTATGTTGTAGCGTTAAAACATTCATGAATAGTTTATCTTATAACTTTTCCAGAGATACTTTCATTTGGAGAATCCGTCAGATATTGTACAATAACTTAACAAACTGTGATGATAGTGTCAAAATTTTGCCAAAATCGCCATGAATACCAAAACAGGGCTTTCTTCATTTATTGCGAGGAATTAGAGAAATGCTTCCTTAATTTGGTCTTAATCAATACCCTTATGCTAATGGTACATTTCTTAATTGTACAATATACACGAAGTTAAAGGAGAAGACTAACTGCAGTCTTTTTTATTGATATACAGTTTTTATTACCTATCTAAAACTATCCTAACCTTGTACCGTGAGAAGTCTGGGTAGGAGAGTACTCTGCGGTTATCAGAGTCGGCGATTGAGAAAATTATCAGGCTCCGGCAATGAGACCAATTTCGGACTCGACGATTGTAACGAATAATTTAAGGACTCGAGCATTAATATAAAGCACGGTGATAAGTCGAAATCCATTTAAATAGTAAATACAGACATGGGAAATAATATCAGACACGGAAAATAATATCAGACACGGGAAATAGCAGACAATGAGGAGGTCTGAAAGTGGCCAACAATAACGGACCCTGTTAATTGATTTCCGACACGAAAATTAATTTTTCGATAGGGAAAATACCCTGACTGAATTTTGAACGGTATGTTACGCCATAGAAATGAAGAATTCGAAGCAGCCGAAGTCAGACTCTGACATTCAGAAACTTGTCAAAGTGAACACCGATGCGGTCGCTCTCCTAGGGCACGCACATATCGACCTGTCCCACCGTCGCAGGGAGTCGCTCAAACCGCATCTGAACAAAGATTATGCTGGTCTGTGTGCTTCCCATGTTCCTGTAACAGCTCAGCTGTTTGGAAACGACCTGCAAACCCAGCTGAATAATATACGAGCATCCAACAGAGTAAGCTCCACAGCAGTTGGGAATCGCCACAAAAACTCGAAGGGACACCCTTCCCGAAACTACCAAAAATTTGATCGGCGAAGCAAGCCTTTTTTAGCCAAAGGCCGTCATTGGAACTCGAAGCCACTTCAAAAACCCTTCTTCCGACAACAGGACCAAGGGAAGAAGCAGCAATGATTTCCGCTGACACACTTGATAATTTACAGGTAAAATAATCTTGTCTTGTTTGAGTCCAATATGAAACATATCTTTGCGAATAAGGTGCAAAGCTTCAGGGCTGGCCAACTGACACATTTCCTTGGTAAATGGAAAGAACTAACTTCCGACTCGGAAGTCCTTAACTGTGTTAGGGGTCAGTACATTGAATTTTCCACACAGCCCACAAAAAACTTGGTTTCCAAAAGGAAAACATTCAACATCAGTGACTCACTAGTTATTGAAGCTGAAATTAAAAAATTGCTTGACAAAGGTGTCATTGTACCCACTCAACATGAAAGTGGAGAATATATTTCGCCTATTTTTGTGACAAATAAAAAAGATGGATCATCTCGAATGATCTTAAATTTGAAAAGCTTTAACCAGCATGTTGAATACCAACATTTTAAAATGGACTCGGTCTGGACAGCAATTAGGCTCATGACCCCAAATTGTTACATGGCGTCAATCGATTTAAAAGATGCTTACTATTCGGTCCCTATTGCAAAGCCACACCAGAAGTACCTCAAATTTGAGTGGAACAACATGTTATTTCAGTTTACATGTTTTCCCAATGGGTTGGCCTTTTGCCCTAGGAAATTTACCAAGCTAATGAAACCAGTCTTTGCCACCCTTCGACAGCTTGGCCACTTATTGTCAGGTTACATAGATGACTCCTGGTTGATGGGGACAGTCTGGGATGATTGTGCAAAAAATGTGGTTGACACGGTAAAATTATTAGACAGTTTGGGATTTGTGGTACACCCTGAGAAGTCGGTGTTCATCCCAACTCAAAAACTGGTATTTCTGGGTTTTACTCTAGACTCAGTTAACATGCAAGTCTACCTTACACCTGATAAGGCTGTTAAGCTAAAACAGGCAGCTACTGTTATGTTGCACTGTAAAAAGCCTACTATTAGGGATGTAGCCAAGGTCCTTGGGCTTATAGTATCTAGCTTTCCTGGCGTTGCCTATGGACCCCTTCACTACCGCTATTTAGAACGAGATAAAACTATAGCTCTTAATGCTAGCAAATGGAACTTTGATGCCACAATGTGCATATCCAGCCAAGCAGGTGAAGAGCTTAAGTGGTGGATTGAATCAATCGAGACTGCATCCAACCCGATAAATCGAGGAGAAGTAGATATTACCATTACTTCTGATGCCTCAAAACAGGGGTGGGGTGCAGCAACCAGTGATTCTTCAACTGGGGGACTTTGGACTGTTGAAGAGGCTAAGGAGCACATCAATTTTCTCGAAATGTTAGCTGTATTCTTTGCCTTAAAATCATTCAGTACTTTGACTCATGGCAAACATGTTAAGGTCATGGTCGATAATACTACCACTGAATCAACTATTAACAAGATGGGTACAAGCCACTCCCTGTAAAGGCAGACAAAGAGTTGCGTACATTTAGGAGGTGTACTGAATGGTGCTTAAAGAAAACTCTCTTTGCAAGGGCTTGTACCAAGCTCAATGTTACCCCTAACATCGACCTATTTGCGTCTAGGATCAATTGCCAGATCACGCCCTATGTCTCTTATAGAGCAGACCCAGAAGCTTTTGCCATCAATGCTTTTCACATGTCTTGGCAACATTACTTATTTTATGCTTTTCCACCATTTAGCCTGATAACAAGAGTTCTTCAAAAGATTCAAGAGGAGAAGGCAACAGGGCTTCTACTTGTTCCAAAATGGCCAACTCAACCGTGGTGGCCCAAGTTAATGCAGATGTTAATACAACCACCAGTACAGCTTCCAAAGGACAGAGACACTCTGTTCCTACCCAGCAGCCCACAGGAACCTCATCCACTTCACAAGAAACTGTGCCTGATTCTGTGTCACTTGTCCGGAGATACCTCAACGGCAAAGGCCTTTTGACAACAGCTACCACAGTCATGGAACACTCCTGGCGGTCAGGCACTAGAAAGCAATATGCTACTTACCTTGAGAAATGGAGACGCTACTGTAGTACAAGGAGCATTGATCCCATTTGTCCCCCTGTAGAGGAGGGAATCAATTTTCTTGCTGAACTCTATGACTCTGGCATAGGATACAGTGCTATTAACACTGCGAGGAGTACCATCTCATCTATTGTTAGATTGGCTAAAAATATGTCGTTTGGTACCCACCCCATGGTGTGTCGTTTCCTCAAAGGCGTGTTTGAATTGAAACCTTCCCTCCCTAAATACAAGAACATTTGGGATGTCAACACTGTCCTGGCTTACTTGTCAAACCTTCACCCACCTCCGGGCTTAACTTTGAAGGATCTCACCTTCAAAACGACAATGCTTTTAGCTTTGTTATCAGGGCAGAGGTGTCAGACACTGCATTTGCTTTCTGTTAGCAATATGGTATTGAAGGACGATAGCTGTGTATTCATCATCAACAAACTTTTGAAGACCTCTCGGCCAGGAAAGCATGTGTCAGACTTAACATTCACAGCCTACTCACCAGACAACCGTCTGTGCCCTATCGTCTGCTTATCTGAATATGTCAAAAGGACAAGTCACCTTAGGAAAAGGAGTGACCAGCTGCTAGTGAGTTTCCAAAAGCCTCACAAGCCAGTTTCAACTGACACGATTTCTCGATGGCTAAAAACGGTTCTTGAAAAGTCAGGAATAGATACCTCAGTCTTTAAGGGACATGGCACCAGGGCAGCTTCTGCATCTGCAGCTGCAAAGTGTAAGGTTCCATTGTCTACAATCATGGATAACGCAGGCTGGTCGAATGCGACAACCTTTGGGAGATTCTACAGGAAACCCATCGTCACATCAAGTAAAGCTTATGGACAACTCCTATTGGAGAACCTCCACACATAGGATTGTTACAAGACATTTGTTACTGTTAACCAGTACTCATTACCACATGTTTGTTGTGTTTATTTAGTTGCTGCCTATTATAGGCAGACTCCCTATGACAATGAATCTGGGAACTTGGCAGCTTACTGTTTACTGCCTTCTTTCCTGAAGTGCACTCTGTGCACCATAGACTGACAAGCCATATTGCAGTAGTTGTTTTGTACACATAGTTTTGGTAAATAAACCTGTTTGTGTTTATTTCTTTGCTCATAATTGCACTGCTTTAAAGTATCACGTGACTCACTAGTGAGTAGGACTGGTCTCGAAATAGAATTTATAAGTTAAACGAGACTTACCTGTAAGTTGAAGTTTGACTGTAATTCTATGAGATACCAGTCACGAACTAGGGAGTCACGTGCCCTACCCCTTCACTTGGTGACTATGTAGCACATTCATCTTATTACTTCCCACCCATTATTGTTTGCAATCATTCGCCTTTAAAGACTGATCGCTCGGGCTACTCGCACATATCTCACGTGACTCCCTAGTTCGTGACTGGTATCTCATAGAATTACAGTCAAACTTCAACTTACAGGTAAGTCTCGTTTAACTTATAAATTAAGGGTCTCAGTAGGTTTCATTGTTAGCCGTAAAACGACCAAAAAAAATTAGCCGTCAGGCGTAAAAATTGACAAACTTGGACGTTAGTCGTAAAAAAAGTTAACTGTTAAATTTTTCTGTCAACCACAATAGAAAGAAATTAACAGTTAGCCATAAGATGATCTGCTAAAATGGCCAAAATTTGAACCGTCAGCTGTGAAAGCCATCGCCCCATTGAGACCCTTTTCATTGCTAAATAGTTGCATGTTATGCATGCTGAATATTGTTAAACGATAAAAATAGGAGTATATCTAATCTAAAAACATTGTAAGGGTTCCCTTTTACTGGTGTTGGAAAAGGAATGGAAATAATATTGTAACGCCAGGTTCGGGGCGACTTTTGAAGAGCCAAAGTTTACTTGTCAACAACTACTCGCGTTGAACTTTGCGTGCATGCTGATCGAAGAAGGCCAGAGATCACGGGAAGTTAGCTGTAATTAACGATGTTATATTGAAGATAATGGAACGACCACAGATAACAAGATAACGCCAATCACGAACCAATAAGGGAGAACATTCCGATCATAATTGCGGCGTAACAGATGTTTCTAGATGATCTCTAAATAAATATAAAAATCAATAGTGACGAGAGAATACATGTATTTCAAATTGTCCTGCCTAAAAGGATAGCAATAACATAAACGATAGCAGTTATAAAATCAATAAAGGCCATAAAATCGCAGGAGATAGAAGGCTGCAACTGATGGTGCACAAGTTGACTCAAAAGGCGCACGCATAACTCAACGGTGGAGGATCGTAAACGCAATATTTTCAATAAAAGTTAAAGTCCAGTCTTTACGTGGCAGTTTCGCTTTCGCATGACAAAAAAATGAAGAAACGCCGCGGCCCAGCGCTAAAATTTAGACATACAAAAATTCAGTCGAAAAACCAATTAAAATAGCTCGTACGATCGAGTAAAAGCTCCATGAACCAGTAGTGTTTATTATTACAACTACCACTCCTCCACTCCTCCCTGCGTAGTATTAGTCCTTCTCTCGCCCCTCCCTGGGTAAGAACACTGCCTCCCACCCCTCCCTCAGAACTGATAGACTTCATCCCACCCCACCCCTCCCTCAGTACTAATGGTGTGCTCCTCCCCTTTAAAATGGTCCAAAAAATGGTCCAAAACATGGTCCAAGAAATGGTCCAAAAAATAGTCCAGTCCATATTTTACCATATGCCAGAAGGCTAAAGAAAAACTAAATGGGTCCTTCGAAAAACCGGGCGCTGCTACGTGGAGCCAAGTACTTGACTTATAACGGTACTTTGTGATTTAGTTGGTTGAAAACGCGACTTTTGGAATAAGGGGCTATAAGTTGGAAGTCGTACCCCAGAAAAGGGGTAGAAATAGTCTGTACTTACATATCGGTTCCCACTTGCACTCTTAATAGTCTTAATAGCCAAGGGTGACTTAAACTTAGTTTACCAAAAACACGTATGCTAGCTCTGTAAAGCTGAAAAGTAGAACTACTAAAAGAAGGCCGGTAGCAGCATATATTTTTTGTGCACCAATATGGCGGCCAATTAATATGAGATCACGTGACTAAAAACGCTCTATGCGTCACGCGTTAAAGCTTATGACGTAATTGCTAAGTAAACAAAATTGACAAATTGGCGAAGAGAATTAAGGATAATCATTCAACGAAGAAGCCTCGATTTAACGTTTATTACAAATATATTACCATAAGCCATTCAGTAAAAAAAATTATAATGAGCAAGTTGATCAATTCCTATTCCTTTTGGCGGTCTTCTTATCCTTTTGGCGGTCTTATCTTACTGGGAGAATTTCGGTCACGTTTTTCTTATTGTGGTCGTGAATTTGACATGGAGACAGATGTTTCTACGTAAACTACAATTTGCGGCTAAATATTGGAATATTTAAGGTACAAAGAGTGTTGGAAAAATATTTCTAACAAATAAAGTTTTTCTAAATTTCTAGAATGCCCAGTCACTCCCTGACACGCATACCATGAAACTTTACAGCCGAACATTTTTTTAGGTCACCTAGTTATGATGAAATATTACCAAATGTAAGGAACAAAATATGATACTACCAAAACATTTGTGTTCTGGATTGTTTTAGAATACTTTGTAAATGTATATAAGGACTCAGTCGTGTAGTAGTTGCTGTTGTTGTCGGGAGTGACCGACTGTCTGGAAAGCTGTACTGAGAGAGAGAGCCACTGATTAGGATCAAATATAGATACTTTATTACAAATCGATCCTTTCAATTAATTTTGTCAGTATTGCATGAGATAACGAGGAGATTATTTTCCCTAGCAGTCGGATAGGAATTCAAAAAGATTTGTATCAGTTTTATTCTAGATCAGAGTTTTCACTCTCTTCGTGTTTCAGTTTCGTATAATTGTTCTGAACCCGTTCAGTCGGCTTCTTTTCCGGAGAATCCTTTTGAAAACAGCTCATTTCCAAACGATCCAAATGGCAAAATTCCACATAATACGTTGATGAAAACAAAGCAAAAAGAACATAAGTCAACCAGTCACTGATATTATAAATAGAGAACATGATGTCTTTTTCGTCCTTCAAGTTAGAATGCATCTGTTTTTCAGCATTGGCGGTTCCTTTCAAAAGTTGTGCCGCAAGCCACACGTCCATAGACACGTGCATGAGACCGCTGACGCATAGAAGAATCGATGTTGCAAGGCGCAGCGCGAAAAGCTTGACAGTATTTGTTTGGGGTTTAATGAGGTAGTAGGTGATAACGGTTTGGAGTGAACACTATTTTATTCCACAAACTCGAACTACAGTTCGACCATTGTAGTGTACAATACCAGGGACTTCGGTATGTTTCTGTGAGAAATGAAAAAAATTGATAAGATTTTTTTTTCTGTGAAACAACATTGGAAAATGATTGTACAGTACATATTTTATAATGGGCCGGGGCGTTTAGGTGTACACAAAAAACCTCC